GCTGCTGCTGCTGCTGCTGCTGCTGCTTGCGACTGGGCGACGTTGGAGCAGCCGCAGCGTGGTTCGACATGGTTGCGTTGGCAGCGTGATGGAGGTGGTGGAGCGGAGCGAAACCAAGCGAAGCGAAACGAGCAGCAGACCAACACATCAACACCAAAAACACGTCAAATAATCCAAAAATCAACGCGCCTTTCATCCCTTCCGCCCCTGCAGGGTCCACTCTGCCAAAAAGCGCTCGCTCGCTCCAACTCGACACAGCACAGCACAGCACAGCGTACGATGGCTGGGCAAGCAATACCTCTTGATTGCAGTCTAGAGCCAGTCTAGCACCACCAGCCGTACTCGTTGCACACCCACTCTACTCTTTCGCCCTCGGCCTTGTCTGCGTACCATGCGAGTGCGGGCAGGCTGGCGCTCTTGCCGTGTCTCTCGACCACCTCGCCGTGGGCGAGCGCGTCTTTGTGCCTATCCACCGCCTCGCCCTGCTTGAGCATTGCCTCATCCTCGTCGCTAAGTTCGATGCCGAGGCTGGGCAGATCGATGTTCCAGGCGAGACACTTTTGCATGCCGAATTCGGCGGCCTGCGCACGCACTGCCCCCACCAGCATCGTGAATGTCGAGGCGGAGGTGAAGCGCAGCCGGAGGATGGCCACCTTGCGCTCGATAAAGTCGAACATCCATACGGCGTACGAGGCGTCTGCCTGCGATGAGCCGGGGAGCAGAAGCCCAAAGTGCGTCGGTTTGGGTGCTGAGGAGGGCAGCAGCGTGGTGGCGTAGAAGTTGGTGCGGCGGATAAGCCACCGCCACGAGGTAGCCTCGGGATCGTCCAGGCAGAATCGAAGTGCAGGGGATGAGGAGGTCTGGAGGGTGGAAAGGAGGTGGGAGCGGTCGATACGGCCGATGGTGTTGAGCTCGTCGGCTGTAAGCCAGCGTGCATCCGCGGGTAGGTCGGCGCTGGAGGTCGAAGGCGCCCATTGGACGTGGCGATTGCCTACGACGGTCCAGGCGAATTGGGAGTAGTACTCGCCAATGTCGCTGTACAGGAACGAGCAGGTTGCATTGCCTCCGTACGCGCCGTCGTCACCGAGCTCCGAAGAGGGGTCGTCCAGCGGCACGGTTAGCGAGCGGCTGTCTTGGAGGCTGCCCCGGTCGAGGGGTGGAGGCACACACCCTGCTGGGTTGAGGCGGTGCTGCAGGAGCGTCATCATCTTGGCTGCGTAGCCGTGGCGCCTTTTGTCCTCGGGTACGAACACCGAGCAGACCGAGTAGGAGAGTGCGCGCTGCACCTCGCCGCCGCCTCGGCGCACCAGGATCGGACGGCGGTAGGTCTCGCAGCCGGCAAGAAAGTCGAGCGTCTGCGTGTCGTCGGCAGGAACGAGCACCCAGCGTCGTCGACGTGTGACCGAAAAGTCCGAGGTGCCCAGCACGTCCTTTTCGCGCGTGATGAACTGGTCCTGCGTGAGCAGAGGATGGCCCCATTCCACCCACTCGCGCTGGGTAGCGATCAGATCCTGCGCCTCGCTGGCGGGTACGAGCGCGTACCCGTCCACAGTATCCTTGAGTGCGCTCATCGTGTCGAACTTGGTCTTGGTCTTGTCTCTGGTGAGGTGAGCAAGGGGGAGATGCAAGAAGAGAGAGAGGAATGCACGGCGGGCTCAGTCGTCGGCTATCCAAACCCAAACCCATCGCGTTTCGAGAAGATCCTCTCCGGCCGCTCGGACCTTTTCTTTTTCCAAATCCCAACTTTTACTCGGCCTAACAATGCAAAGCAAAGCAAAGCAAAGCAAAACTGTCGCTCGGGTCGCTCCACCCTCGAAAGCGTTGCGTTGGGTTCAGTTGGGCCGGGCTGACGCGTCGGAAGTGCGCTTGGACTTTGGGCTGAGTTGCTCCACCTCTTGAAAGTGCAACACGGCCAACCAAACCGCCCACTCTCTCTCTCTCTC